CCTGAAAAAAAAATTTCAGGCCTGATTTTCACTATTGCTCAAATAGTGCTTTACTGCGAAGGATCGTGCTCATATACGTAAATGGAATTATGTTTAACAGGAATTTGTTAGTGTATGTTTTTCCCATTTGTTAGAGTATGTTTTTCCCAGAAGGCCGCAAATTTAGATTGCTAATTATTTGACTGCTTACTATTCAAATGTATTAGATAGTTTCAACTGTCAGATATGATTGTGACAGATGACAATTTTGTTCTGTGGTTTATTGTTCATTGTAGATATTGACCGAGCTAGAATACAGTGGAGTGGGACGCAACAAGGAACAGAGTGCTCGTATGCTGGGTCATTTAGTATCCAATGCACCAAGACTGATCAGGCCTTACATGGAACCAATACTCAAGGTCAGAATGTGTGGCAATCTGTACTGGGAATGTTGAAAATATGTGAACTTACACAATTTTGAATGAAATAAATTTCGTTTGACCTGCAGATGAAAATGAAGCAAAGAAGGATTATTTTCCATTTTTAAACAATGATTATTGGAGGTTGTCATGTATTCGGTTTTTAGATTTATTGTCAAAAGCACATGGAATACATAATGCGCACACGTGCGCATGCTTACGAGGACCAACCCCATACACTACAACAGAGGTGTGCTGCAATTTAAGCAATTTTAGAAAAGAGGCCAGAAAAATTCAGGATTTCACAAGGTTCCAACATGTGCATCCCAGCCACAAGCTCTATAATTCTTGATGTGCCAGTCCAACTAGTGTCTGGGAGACATGAGTTCCAATCCTGCCAAACCCTGAATTTTTTTCAGGTTTCTTTTCAGCAATTGCTCAAATTGCACACCTGTGGAGATCATTGCTTTACTTGATGTGAAAAAATTAATTTCATTGCATGAGCACCATTTGTTTAATTTTGTTTTGCTGCCTTGCTGAAATAAAATAATTTGTTTTTTCTAACAGGCATTGATTCCAAAGCTGAAAGACCAAGATCCCAATGTAGTTATAAGTGTGTTGGCTGCCATTGGAGAACATGCTCAGGTATTTTTCAATGAAACAATTTTTTTTTTTTACATGATTGAAACTGTAGGTCCAGATCAGGCAATTCTGTGATTGTGTGTCAACTGAGTAAGAAATCGATTGATTAATAATTCCAATTTTAATTATGTTTTTAACATGTTGCTTCTTTTGTTTTACATCAAGAATAAAAAGGTCATAGCTAGTAGCAATCAGATATTAGGGAGATGGGTTTGACCATTAGAGACAAGCAAGCACACCAACAAGCGAGGCAAAGTGTGAAACTTGACTCCCACTAGAAACAAAGCGCATGGTTGATCAAAATTACATCATTCGCCCCTGAATAATTTTTTGGGAGGGGGGAAGGGGGGGCCATGAATACATAGTCCAAAATTGTTGATTTCAACTGCATTATGAACGTGCTCTTTGTTGAATGCAATTATATAACATATTGGTAATTTCCTTATTAGGTCAGTGGGATTGAGATGAGCAAATGGTTGAATGAACTTTGTCCCATAATCCTTGATATGCTTCAGGATGCTTCACTGAACAACAAACGAGAGGTAAACATTAGTTATTCATAGTTTTCCCTTATTTTAAGTACAGCAGTGAAAGAAATTTTCAAACCCATTCTGCAGTCCATTTTACCTGTTGAATTTTCAAGAATTGCAAGTGATTTAGGTTTAATAAGACGTACTACATTAATTTCACTGGTTACGTCCGCCTGTAAAGAGCAACACTGATAAATAATGTGTCAATTATTTTGAAGCTTCAACATCCACCCCCACTCCTCCCTGGGCGTTTAAAATTTTGAAGGTTGCTTTTGTTCAAATTCCTGATCCTGGGGTGAAAATTGCTTCTAGATGCCTCACCCAGTTTTTTTTTTGTGTGTGTGTGTGTGTGGGGGG